CCAACTTGCTTGGCAATCCTGAGGTCTTGATTGTGGTACTCTATTGCTCTTCGGGAGTCACCTTGTAATAGGTAAGCAAAGCCGAGCTTTTTATAGGCACATCCTGCTGTATTACCGACTTCCTCAGCAATGCTCAGGTATTGCTTGAGGTACTCTATTGCTCGATGGAAGTCCTCGAGGGAGAAATAAGCTATGCCTAGATTGTAGTAGGCACCTGCTTTCTCTTCCGTGTTTTTATTGATTTGCGCTATTTCAAGACGCTTTTTTTGTTCAGCTATATCTTGTAGTATTCTTTCTGCCATTTCGAAGTTTTAGTATTCAAAGTGGAACTGTTTCTTGGGCGTAATGCTTCTTTAAAGGAGCGTGGAGGTAGAGAAAAAACAAAAATAATTCTCATTAATACATTTGAAGTCTTAGAATATGTTCCCATTAGACCGATAAGGTAGCTAGAACTTTCCCTCCTTCCACCCTAGATTTACTCTAACTAACAAATCTGCTGAATTGTTTTGTAAATTTCTGAATATTGGTGTTATAACACAATATTTCAAGCAGATTCCTTTTAATCTTCTTTCTATAAACTTAGTTGAAACTAAAAAATCTCCTTTGTACCCTACTTAAATATTCAGAAAACAAGAAAGGTTTCATTAAGTACAAAAACTAAACATGATATTTGAAACTCCTGTGATACCAAATGAAAATATAGTTGAGAGCTTCTGCCTGAGGTAGGATTGGAAATAGGTGTCGGTCGATTTTGCTCAAATTTGGTACACTTAGTTACTATGGAGACTTATACATTATGCCAATGTTTTAGCTCGATTGTCCCTGCTTTGGTGTGAGGTATATAGATCAGCCTTTTTGGGCCGGGTTTTCTGAGGTCGATTTTTAGATCAATTTTGAGGGTTTTGAATAATTCACCTTTAATGTATGGATCGGAACATTTCTATCCCTAAGGTTTTTATGGCAGAATATGTAGCAAATAGAGGATACTACATGGCCGTGCGGAGGTAAGAAATTTCCCTTCGAGTGTAGAAAAAGTTAGACACTTTCTTCCCGCGAAAAGCGCGATTTATTATGTAGCCATAGTAACGGTGATCTTTTCAGAAGATCATGTTTTCGCGTGAAAGCTCACCTTGTATTTCATTGGTGTTTATATAATAAAAAGAAATATTTCTATCGTTTGTGACCTTATTGTTTGGTTTCATGATAGTGTAAGGATGGTAAAAGAAACCGCTAAAGGCCCGAAGTAAGTCCAATTATCTTCGGATTCCACTTTTTTTTATAAAATTCTTACATGAGTAGAAAGTGTAGACCTTGTTATCTAAACACCAAGAGGAAAATACTAAGGTTACACGGCTTTCTCACTGTGCAGCCGTGCTTTGATGGTTCTATTATTGTTAGCCACAACACTCTCCCCATCTAGTTTACATGAAATGTTTCAGTCCAAATAGCCCGTGTATAGGCGCCCTCCCGTTACTAAAAAAAATGCTTTTTTTTTTTCTGACGGGAGGAGGCGGCTGTACACAGGTTTAGTCCAGAGAAATGGGGCTTGGTCTAATCCTCAAAAATGAGTCCGCTGCCCGGCGACAATAACGTTACGTGCAAAATTCAGAGAGACCACAAACCAGGAAACCACAACAAATTTTAAATTGTTTGCCTTACATAGAGCAGAAATAAAAGCGCCTTGATTTAATTCATAAACCGTAAGTTTCCTGAAAACCTTTCTGGCAGTACAATTCACATAGTCCCAATGCACATTGAAAAATTTAAAAGGCAGCTGTTTGAGGAAAGATGTCTTGGTTAATTAAGTTTATGACCTCAATTTCTTATTAATCGATGCAAGACTTAGTTTCACAAAATTATGTACAAAGCAGGTCTTTCGTCGTTAACTATTGTCATATAAATGAAAATTATTATAAATCTGTGACATCTACAACATGAGAGATCCACATTTAACACAAATTATCCTGAATATCCGGCGTTGATTGTCTGAGGAGGTGTAGGGGTGGGGGGTTTAGAAGGGGGGGGGGGTGGAAAGGAATTGGAAGAGAGAAGCGGAAAAGGGAGACAACGAAGGTAGAGAAAAACAAATCGGCTAAAACAATATTCTAGTCGGACATTTTGCTTAACATAGAACAAACATACTTTGCTTCGCGGTCGCAAACCGGTCTAAACTGATTATTAATTATTTCTAAGTAAAAAAAGAGGGAAAAAAACTACGGCAGGAAATCAAAATAAACCTTGCAGAAATATCTGATTAGAAAAATTCCAAGTTAAAGGAGATTATTTCTTACCTGAACGATTTGATATCTGTGAAGAAATTTTCAACGGGGTTTTGAAGTGTTTCCCAGTGGTTGGATTTAAATGCAGAGGACTATCAAATATATAGGGTGGCCGATAGAAACAAAAAAACCACAAGACAACAACAACAACAAAAATAGGAAAGAACAAACCCAAAACAGAAACACATAAGACAAAATGGGAAACCCGAAACAGAAAAACACTACCAGAAAACAGAAACACAAAATCCCAAAAATGAAATGAGTATCCCCAACAGAAAACATACTCAAAAAAAATAAATAAAATCGCAAAACTGAAACAGATTCCAAAAATACGAAACATAGCCACAAATGACGAAAACAGAAACAAGGAAATAGTGAAAAGATATACAGTTTTTCATGTTTCATCGTTTTTTTTTTGTTGTTTTTTTTTTTTGAACAGGAGTTTTACGTTTTTTTTTTTTAGGGAGAACATGATCGCAGGTGATTATTATCTAGGAACATCAAACTGTAAATCAATTTCGTTCCCAGGCTATCTCTTCTCTTTGTCGCCGCTCGCTCCAGGTGACCAGTATTTTCATCTCTGAGGTCTCCGGTCAATTTTACCCCACCGGGGTGTTCACGCGAGGACCACGTGGGGTCCGTTTCTTGATCGTCCTGGTACCTTTGCCAGTCCAAAACAGACAACCTAGCGTGAGACATAACTACTAACGTATGGCGTTAAAATACAGAGATTGACTCTGACTGGACGTCGGTTGCTCGAGATTTAATACACCCGACATTAGGGAGGCGACGGTAGTGAAACGTCATTTATAAAGCTATTTGGCGTACTTTTAAAATTTGTGGGGGTTATCTTTACTAGCTACAATCGGCGAAAAAATGAGTTGAGACACTTCGCTCAAAAGGAGGCTTTTTTACGATTTATGAACTTCAAAAGGAGGAAATATAGCTTTCCTCCCCCATCCCCTCCGTACAATGTTGGGCCCTTGTTCTAGCTTCCTATAGAAAACAACAAACACCCCAACTTTGAATGGAGGGGACAGGGGAGGGGTGGGGATTCTTTTGTTCTCCGTAGTCACCCTATTGAAGTACAATGTCTCAACAAATTTGTCGCCGATTGTAAGTTGATCAAATGTAGGTGATTTTTCTGTGGAAATGAATTTTTAGGGAGCACTGACATCAAAGAGTAAATAGAGGAAAATAAATTTGTGTTTGGGTGCTTATGTCCTCCATATAACGTAGTGATGGCGAATAAAAATTTGCAAAAACGTGCGATGCACTTGCAGAGTTATTGTTTTGTTTATTGAACCTATATCAAGGGTTACCCTGCCAGTTCGAAAAATGCGGCAGTTCAGAATAGACTGGGGCCAGGAGGCCTAACTGGCTATTTACGCGATGACTTGTTTTTGTTACTAAAGGAATTCATTTCATTTTTTCTTTCATATTTAAATTTGGTAATCCCATTGAGGTTTAAAAAGCAAAAGCCCTAACTTGCAGAAGAAAGCAAACCCCTGAAAGAATCTGGTATAATAAAATGACGTCATCGTTCAAACGGCCCTTTTTAGAATCCTTCAGAATTTGGCTTTCTCTTGCAAATTAAGGCTTCTGAATTTACCGCATTAAATATGAAAGAAATGAAAAAAAAAAAAAACGAAATGATTCTGGTCTGACACTATCGTGAAAAGCCCCGTCCACACAAATCCGGATATTTTTTAAAAGCGCATTTATATATATTTTTCTCATGAATCGGCCTTCCGTCTTGTATTCCGTGCACACATGAAACCAATGAATCCTCTCACTGAAACATTAGGCTGATTTAGCAACAGAACGGGAGCGTCAGTTGACGACGAGGAAAGCGCGAGGAAAGGACTGAACGCGACTTCCGGTGTTCAATTTGCTGCTCTGCCATTGGTCAAGCCAGGTGTTTGATTTGCGCGCGTCGTCGTCAACTGACGTTCCCGTTCTATTGCTAAGTCAGCCTAATGTGTGGTTTAAGGCCTCGTCTACACGAATCCGGGTACAAAGTTATGCAGTTTCAAAAATTAGTCTGGATTCGTGTACACGTGACCCTAAAACAGTTCAAGGTAGCTTTTGCTGAATCCAGTCAAGAATGTCCTTGTAAACCACGCTCACAGTTTCTTCCACCTCACTCAAAAGTTCACGGCGTCCATTTTTGTACACCTGCAAAGCAAGTTTTACACGCAGTTGAGTTAATAATGAAATAATGATAGGTAGATTTAAAAATGACAACGGGACAGAAGATTGGCCGAAGAGGGAAAACTCTATATTATTCTTTAGACACCCGTTTGGAGACGAGAATTTCCTCTTTGGTGATTATTTTATAAATTCTCATAACCTTTTCCCTTGAAAATGCGGTGACATTGTTAGGAGAAAAAAGATATTGGTCACTCTTGGGGCTAAAAGGGTTTAGACAAATCACGACTTTTGTTGGGATAAGTTCACAATAATTACGCTTGAAACAAAGCGGCCGAAACTCCTACCCCGGGCAGGACAATATCACCACATGAACAAACGCCGTTTTAAGACCGCCTCTTCCTGCCATCATGATATACTGTCAAGCGCCCTAACTATTCGTCGGAAATACCGATAAAGAGGCTATTAGTTCGCTCAGTGCTGTCAGTAAAGCAGCTCATTCGTGTACCTTAAATGTCTTGTCGTTACTGGGAGAATTCTCATGTAAGTATTGTGAACCTTCAATCTTCACTAACTGATCTCCATCACAAGTAGGTAAGGTTTTGTAAGCTTTGACAAGTTCCTCTGGATTTCATTCATTGCGTCTAATATAGCTCCGACCCATCTCACTTTCATTCCCTCATGCCAGTTTAGGCTATCATTGGCATACTTTTCAACCTAAAACAATAGTAATAAACAAGGTGCATTGTGTTATTGAAGTCCTAGACTTGCCACAAGTCAAGCGCGAGAGAGTAGAAGGCGCGAGGGACGCCTGGTACTCAAGGAAATTCGACTTGCTGTAAGACGTTTGGTTACTAAATGGATTGTGCAAAGAATTGAGTGACATTGAATTTTTTATGGGGAGGCTTCAACCCTAAAAAAACACGACGAGCTCCTTCAACGATAAATGTGTGAGGAGTTAGGTCTCGGGGTGGTGCGTTACCATATAAAATGTTGTTGAGTAGCTCCCCCCCCCTCCCCCACCGGGGGTTTAATCTTTGGGCTGATTAATTGAACAGGACAGAATAACCCTCGAAAAACCCGCCGGCCACCAATATCACAGTCACGAAGGATGGAAAACACCAATTCCTGACTCACAATTCCGAACGACTTGTCATTAAACCATTAAACTGAAAAACTTTTATTCAGTCTTCACCCAAAATATTCCAGTCAGTGGTACGAAATGTCGAGTTTCTTCGCGATCGGTTTGAGGGACTAGACACAGCCTCATTCAGCAGCCTCCCGAAATGACCAGAATATGTTCGGCATTTTTCGAAAGTCGTGGAAATTTTTCTTCGGAAATGCTGAAAAAATGCACACGAAAGTCTCTCTCCTTTGACTCAGAAAAAGCGAGCAGTTTTCAGTTGTGTTATTCGCCTTTTTAGAAACGAGAAGGGAATTTTATTGAAGAAGAAATGTGACCCGCGATTGCTTCTGGGATTGTTACTGGGGTCGTGTCGGTCAGCTATCGGCAATCTTTCTTTCTGTCCCTAGTAACAATCCCAGAAGTCTTTGCGAAAGCTATTGGCCAATCTTTCCTCTACTGTTTTTAATAACAATCCCTGAAGTCTTTGCGAAAGTTAACTCGACCCAGTTTCTGACTCGTTTCTAAAGTGATGAATTGTATCACCTGTGTAGGATCCCGGCTTAAGACTGATGGATCAATCGGTGGCCTGATCTGATACGAGGGGATTATCCATGATACTATTCTTCCTACACAAACCTGTAAGATACATGCATTATATACGTTATTTGAGACCTTTAGTTTTTAAGACGAGGACGACTAAGAGTATGAGATTTTCTTAATGCTAAGCAGTGCGCGCGCATGAACCAGCTTCATTTTGGTGGGAAAACGTGATAGCCGTCGTTATTCTACTACGAGTTTTGCCGAGAATGTCGTTGTGACGAAAACAACTTATCAAATGTTAGAAGCTAAGTTTTATTATTTTCGGTCGGGAGAGGGCTTAAACTCCTTCAATAAGTAACAGTGCTAACTTTTCTGGTGAATCAAAAGTGCAATGGAGCTTTGCGGGTGTCTATTTTTCTTTTTGAGAAGAACGAAAGTCGTACTCCAAGTAGTTCTCGTCCTCGAATCAAAAGGTCTTTTTTAACCAAGCGTGAGGTCCAGATAGCTGAATATTGGCCAAGTTCGTTTTTTTTGTTTTTTGTTTTGCGTTTTTATATATGGAACAATCACTACTGTATTAATTTCGCACCTCCCCCTAGAAGACAAGGTTAAAAACTTGACTCGTGATAAAATAATCTCCTATTAAAATAATCATCACATTCCCTTCCCTCCCCTCCCAATTGCTTCCCCTGCAAATATTTCACATCTAAAATCCGTGTTATCTCACACTGCGTTAGATTTTCTTATGACCTTGAAAAATGGTTTCGGTAAGTGTTCGTTATTTGTTTTATCAGCCAATGGATTGAAAGATCAAAAAAATGGCCTCTTCGTTTTCCCACCAAAGAAAACCCTAATATGGAGAAAGCATTGTTCGATTAGTCAATCGTGTTGTTGTGTGACTTCAAAGCGAAGTATCGTTTGATTTCTAGAAAGTTCTCGGGCGTTCGCTTAACCAACCAAAAGCCACGTGCGTTTGTATCCGTTTCGAGAATCCGTTCGATAAACTAATCAAATCGCTCTATTTCCGTTCCTTTGATGTTTCTTTTTTGTTCGCACGTTTTCATTTCCTGGTCATACGAAAATTGCTCTAAAGCTATGGTAAAACGGACAACAAAAACGTGAAACCTGTTTTACAAAATTGTTGGGAAACTAGTTGAAAAGTGATGTTGCGCATTTTACTACCCACGAATGAAGCCTCCCCTGCAGAAAATCAGGTTTATACAAGTTGCGAAAATTGGTTGCAAAAACTAGAGAGAAGTTGTACTTTTTGCATCAAAATCTGTCAATGTTGCGCGGTTTTAATTACCGGCCCAAGGCAAACTTGTTTTGAAGCAAGTGACGTAACTCCTGTGTATATATGGCGTGACTCCCGCGTAATTTTATCCAATCAGGAGTCAGTATTCCCGCAACTTGCAACACTGAATCTTATTTGCTACAAGGCAGGTTTGATTTGTGGGTAATAAAACACGCAGCATCGCTTTCGGACTCGCTCTGCAGCCATTTGTTGCCCGTTTTACCTTACTTTCGGCCTCAGTTTTAAAGTGAGGGTTTTTGGAACTCGGAATGGTCTATTATAGCCTGTGATCATGCCCTCCCTAAAAAAAAAAACGCCGGATCGCGGGTTGAGATAATTAAAAGACGATGAATCATGAGAAACTATTGTTTTTCATTATTTCCTTGTTTCTGTTTTGGGGCTTTTGATCATGGTTTGTATTTTTAAGTTCTCTTTCAGTTTTGTCGTTCAATTTTGTATTTTTGTTTTGTATGTGTTTCCTCTTTGGGATGTTTATTTCTGTTTTGGGATTTATGTTTCTGTTTTCTCAGGTACGTAGTGTTTTTCTGTTTTGGGTTTGTTGTATCCTGTTTTTGCATTGACGGTGCCCTAAGAAAAGAGAAACAGTCTTTGCATTGTGTTTTCGTTTACTATTTGTAGCAAGTGGAACAATAAATTACCCTGCAAGGATTGGCTTCCACTTTTATGCTTGGTGCACTAAAAATAGCACTCGCAAAGAAATAAGGTCTCTCCATAACACTAAGAACAGCTATTGTACCACCCTATAAAGAATAATGCATAATATTAATAATATCATAACATGAACTTTTCGAGGTACATTCAAACCTTCCGTAAGCGGCTACTCTAAAGGCTGAGACTTAGAGGCCACTTACTGGAGGTTGTCGCTTACGACGGCTTCCTTGGAGTAGATTTCCGGGCACAGCTACTTTAAAGCACTATAAAATATATTGCACCGATTTATTTCTCAGTTCCATGTTGGTACTTTTAAAAGTTCTTCGTATATTCTGAGAAGCACTAATTAAACACAGCGAACAAAAGAGATCAGACAAATCGTTAAGAGGTCGGTTTTTAAGAGGTTAAAAACAATGGGAAGTCTTTAAACCGCTACTGAGCCCCACGCTAACGCGTTGACCAATCAGACATTTTTCACCGGCGAACTCGCAGGCTCAGGTGTCTCTCACGAGTCATGCGCAATGCTGTTAACAATCGTTGCTATGGTGAGTTGCCCGCGAAAAATATGGCGATCAATCGGGACTGCAAAGCAAGTGTTGGGTAGTTTATTTCAGGTTTGTGCAAATGTAAGGGCTTTTTTGGAAACGTATTCATCATGTCACACAGGTAAGATACCATTTATTTTGAATATAGTTTACAAGTTGGTTGAACTGGCGCACGATCTTAAATTTCGAAACAAACTTCTACTTTAATGAGCACCTTGACATCCCTAGAGTAAATCGGTTTCAAAATGACAGCAAGTAGTAGTTTTCTCATTTATAAAGAAACCTTTCTCTCGCGATTCACGTCGCAAATTTCTTCAATCAATCGAGTGAACTGCATGAAATTATTAATTTCCAGGTTTATATTATATTTTGGTCGTACAGATCGGTTCCCAGCTGATTTCGTTACAAGTTTCCAATGATGGTTTTATTAACAAAGTTTTGGTGTTACTTATGATAACATGGGTTGTGATAGCGACATTTTTTTTGAGTGTTTAGTAAGGACCATAGACCTGAACATTTATGCACCTATCAATGTTAATGTTGAGAAGGGGGTGGGGGGGGGGGGGGGGGGGTTAGGCCGTGCAAAGGCCAGGATTTGAACTCGAAGCAATTTTTTGGGTCAAATGCCCTACCCCAGGGCCATCATAATTGGTCAAAAGAGAACAAATTCTCTACCCCTCCAACTAAGACTAGAGGTCAAAAGCATCTCTTAACTACCAGACCAACAACTTTTTAGTAGTCATAAAATTTCCGGCTGTCGTGGCTTTGTCATTCACCAAGTCGTCACCGCAAATTAGCGGGTCTTACAAATGTGTACCAGTCATGGGTGTGAATTACTTTATTATTAGTCCATGTGGGTTTTGTAAACATGATGTGAGAAGGACAACAAAACCTCTCAGTGTCGATATAAGGGTCGTGGCACCCTTTGTCTTCAAAATTTAAGAGTGAAAATAACAATAACAAGAAAGCAAGTTTACATTCATTTGTCTACTCGTCGACATTTCCGTGTTAATCACTTAAGCTATAAATACCGCGATTAACTAAACATTCTATTTTCCAGGGAAACAAACCTTTTTAGCAGTAAATTCACATATGACAACATGTAAACTTTACCTGGTCTATCTCAAACGATTGACCGCAGATTTCATTGTGTTACGTGTCACTCATGATGCGTGGGTCGTTTATATCAGAAATATTTGAAAAATCCTTCTCAAACTTGACTGAAGCAAAGATGCAGTAAGTTTCACCGTTGACAGGTCGAAACACAATGGATTAGAAAGAAATTGTATTTGCGATAATCCTTTATAAAATAATGTTGTCAATGTGGTATGTAACGACTTCAGTTAATGAACATAGTCATCAACGTCTTCGAAAACCCTTTCCAGTGCATCCGGGTGTTCCCTTGTTATATGTCCAAACTGCGTTTTCGTAAGATGATGTCCTCGGATGTCTTAGCCTGTAAACAGACGTTTTATTTTTCTTTTCATTCTTTCCAAAAATGTTGGTGAGCGAAGCGAGCGTGGAGCGCGAGAAAGAAAAATAAAGAATGTGTATATTTATCTTCCCCCACCACCACCCCCTTGCGCTGGTGGTCAATAAATCCCCTGCGGTTTATATTTTATCACCCGCGCTCAATGGACTTTTAAGAGAAAATAGAGGGTCTGTGAACAGGCTACGGATGTCTAATAAAACTCTTCCATTATTGTATTTTAAAAGTTCAATCACGCATCTTAGGGAAAGAGCTTCCCTGTTTCTGGCAACATTTAAAATGAACTAGATTGCGAGCCTCAGTCAATTTCATCAACTTCATAACTAACCATATATAAGACGTAGAACTCAAGCAATAGTAGTAGGCACAAATGTGATACTGATTTTGCTGTACCATGCGTTCCACTTTTCCTGCATTGAGATCGATGCTCATGTACAATAAATGCTTTGAAAATTTACTTGTTTCATATTTAAACATCATGTGAAGGGGTTAGGGGGTACTTTTATAGCGATAAGATGTAATCGATGTTTGTCTGGCCAAAATGGGATATGACTGAGCAGAAATAGGTTTGACCGGACAATTTGACCGACGCCAGCCGGGAAATTGTTTGCAGCCCTGAGCTTTCCAGGTCAGCGGACCGCCACAGCTACTTTGTGTATCCCTCATGATAGTGTATGCATGCCAGGATCACATACTGGAAAGTCTGAAAATGGCTTTTTTCATTTTGATACTTGACTCCAAATATTCCAAAATGAGTCCAAAATTTGTGAAGCAGAAGTCACACTGACTCCTTTCATCAATAAATTTGCAAACCCTGATCTCTACTCTTATTCATTTGAATAAGAGTAGAGAGGATAAAACTAGTTACCATGTCACGCCCTTCTTGGCCACCTTGCACATGTACATAAAAAAATACCCACAGATCCTTTGGGGAACAATGGCCACCATCTTCGGTTACCAAGCCCCCTGGTAATGCAGTTGTTAACCGACTAGTAACCAGGTCTTTTTTCAAGCTTCCAATTCAAGATGGCATCCTTAATCGTATGAAATTCAAAAGTCCCATGCCCTGGACTTGGTGATAATCAAAAGGTCGACTTCCTTTGTCAAATCCCCGGCCTTTGACTGGCCTCCCCTCCCTCCCTCCAGATTAACATTGATGGGTGCATAATTTAGCGTTAATTGTTTCCTAATAAATGAGGTAATCCGATTTATTTTTTGAAATTTTTTTTAGGCAGGGAAGTGGTTTTGTACCCAGATCTGTTAATTTTGAACTTTATTAGATCGACTTGACAGTTGTTTCTTCTAATTTTTGAATTGAACTTAACTCACTCACTTTTGGAAATAAAGCCATGTGGAGATGTGTTATATGACAATATGAAGGGGTTGTAGGTTTCGTTTCTTTTAGGGGACCATCACTCCAAAGAGGAAAACAAGGAAGTACAAAGTAAAATGACAAGTTTAATACAACAAAAAAATGGTGTTGTATGTTCAACAACAAAGAATGAATAAAGTGCAAATACTTGTCTTTTCTGGATATGCCTCTTTTTAGCCATGTACAGTGAATATCGCAGTTGGGGCATGTTTTCGTAATCTTTTGGATTTCAGCCAATTGATTTACCGTAGATTCAAGCAAGATGAATACAAAAAATAATTAAAAGAGATTAATTTTTTCTTGTTCTACATTCTACATCTCGCATATACGTTTGTCATGTTGTAATGTAATCTTGTCAATTTGCATTTAGCTTGTACATTCAGTTGGTTTCTTCCTCTATACAGCAATGGTCCCTTAACAATAATGAAAGCCTTCACGATGAATCATGTTAGGTGACACAAACTTTCAACCTCCTGAACTGTAGTTTTCATTAGGTTAAATGATGAAAAAATAATTAACTTTAAATTATGTAAATGAATTAACTTACTGTTTGCTGACAATTTAACAGCTATTATGGAAAGCAGTGGCTGGAGTCCCAGGGAGCGATCATCGATCTGCTGGAGGTCGAACTTCCAACAGAACCTGCTAAGCCCGAAAAGGTAAAGATTAAATAGCAACAAAAACTTCTCTCCTCCACAGGGGTTAAGCTTTGTGTGCCACACTTGACTCACTCGTTGCAGTGGAAATCCAATAAATTATAGTGAACTTACACAATAGGACAGCAGAGAAAAGAAGACGACAAACCTTGTGTGATAAACGTGACTGTAACTGTGTTAAAAAAAAATTCTGCCAAACTTCACCTTTCTTTAAACAGACATTTTTGTAAACAACCAGAACACATTTATTGTTAAGTAAAGTTCGCCACAAAATACACAAGTAATATCCCTGTCACCTTTGTCACACATGAAAGTTTTACCATCCTCTTCTCTCTGACATCCTGTTGAGTAAGTTCACTAATGTCTGATATCATTTAACTTCTGTAGAGGAGAGATAAAAAACCGAGCTTATTTGAGGTGTAGGGATGTTAAATGGTTCTGATTTTTCAAGTTTGTGTTCATGGATTCTTGTAAATTAACATTTAAGGGCCAGCTGTTTTGAAGTCTCTTCTTTGCATGGCCAATACCTTACAATCATTCATAAATATGACTATTAAGAAAGAATGAAAAAATCGTAAGGGTAACACAATAATTTGCAAACTACTGGATCACCAATAAAGTTATTATTAGAGTAACTTACTGGGGATCCAGTAGTTTGCAAATGATTTTGGTCCACAAATAAAGACAGAAAAAGTAAAATGAAAAGAAGAATAAAAAGAATCCTAACTGAGATGAGACAACCAGTTGTACAAATATATAAACTGAGGAGTTAAACCTCAGGTCTACTGAGAACAACCCCAGCGAGTGATCAAATTGGGACTTGATCTTGAAGTGACTGGGCTGAAACCCAGTGCCCTTAAGGTGGCTTGACCTAGTATTTTAATAGGCACACCCTCCATCTTTGAATCTTTTATACTTTAATAAACAAATATATCAAGAGAAAAAAATTACAAAAATTCAAGAAGAAAATTAATGTACAATTCTAATTAAACCTAAAAATTGAATTAAAATGCTTTAAGTCTACTTTTAAAAGATTCCTCAGACAGGGCGATCCTTGCGTCTAAAGGAAGATCGTTCCAAAGTGCAGGCGCGCATGATCAAAAAGCGTGACTTTCATAGTTCTTTGTCATAAAAATCAGTCTATGTAGGTGGGGAACAGAGACTCCTAACTGGTCGGTCAATATTGAGTATATCAGTCAAGTACTTGGGTGGTAAACCGTTTAAAACCTTGTAAGCTATGAGAAAAATCTTAGAGATGATAGGTTTTCAAATAGGCAGCCAATGAAGCTTATGGAGAATTGGAGTTACTGTATGTAATCCCCTTTCCTAGTCCTAGTAACCAGTTGAGCAGCCGAGTTCTGAATACGCTGAAGTGAGAGATGTCTTTATCTGAGAGACCATACAATAGACTCTGATCTTACAATGGTCCAATTTAGAGGACACAAAGGCCCCGGGGGGGGGGACTTCCTTATGAAAAAGACGGGGAGGCTTTGTAAATCAGGGTGTTCCGGCAGCGCCAATATTTTTCCAGGGTTAGGGTTCAAGAAACACAGAATTACGCGAAGAGAAACAGATGTCAAATTTTCTTTTTAACTTTGTTTGTTATGTCTTTATATCATTAAAACTCATTGCATGTCGAATTTGTGTGTTTTTAAGCGGTCTCTTTTAGGGGTCAAAATTTGCTTAAGCCACGCCCAGATTGGTCTCCTTTAGGAGTTAAATTCAAAATTTCCGACGAGCATCCCCGTCTATTTCATATGGGAGTCCCCCCGGACAAAGGCTTGAATCACGGCAGTTTTTCTGTGTTCGGTTGATCCAGATACTAACAAATATTACCAATACACTTGAGGGCAAAGAATGCAGACATAGATACTAGAGATGTGAGGACCAGAACCATATGCAGTAGATATACATGTAATTATCCAGTTAAGTGGAAAGCAGTGGTATCACCCCTTGCAATAATAATGCACCTGCAAAAAAAGATTGTTTGAATACTTGGATGAAAATTAAAATTTATTACCTTTATGGAGAAGAATGTTGCCTTGTGTGGTGTCAGCTGTTCTAACAACTTTTTTAACAACCGAGTTTTTCTGGCCATGTTGGCTTCCATGCTTTGAAAATTATGGAACTGACGTTTCTTTATTAATAGAATGTTCTCACCTCCTAATATAAACATACTATTCATTTCTGCAGGACCGCATTGCTGCTTTTCAGATGTTTGCTGTTATGTATATTAAGTACATACAAATATTTAGAAGAATTGAAGAATGCTATGATCAGGTACCTAATTATTCGCAATTTTTGTCTGTTACCTTTCATGCACTGACAGATTCTTTAAAGAAGATGAATTGAACAATGATTCCAGAGGACAAGAAATCTCCTTTAAAATTTTGCAAACTGCATGTTTTCATTTTTTCACCTTTACTCAGAAAAGTTGATTGATTGATTGAAGGATTTGAGATGAATAATGATTCCAGAGGAAAAGAAAATTCCTTTAATAATTTGAGACTTTGCAAACTAGTGCTTTAAATAGCTTTTTCACCTTTTGTCAAAAAAGTTGACTGATTGATTGATTTAATTAATTTAATTTACAAGTATTTGTCTCCCTAGGTGGTGCATCCCCAGAAAAGAAGAGTCCTGCGGCATTTACTAGATGGTATAATGGGAAGGATTTTAGAACTTAAGAATGAAATGGTGCTGTTGGAATTTTCTGAATATCACTACTTTGACGATGTTCTCTCAGATCTCAAACTTACTCCGGTAAGTTCATTCAACTTGATGTGAAACATGGAAATTGTTATATACATGTATGCTAGTCTAATTTGCTAGTAGCCCTACAGTAAATAGCTGACAGTTTGTGACACCACTACTGTTTTTCTCATGAAATGACATATGAGGAACGAGGAAGAAATTCCATGCTAGTGATGACACGGCACTATCCAGATCTGGTTGGTGCTTCTGATTAACTGGTTGAATTGGTGAAGTGTCATCATTAGACTTAGAAATAGGCTAGCTCTCCCCTTTCGGATAGTTTGAATGGTTAAATGTAATGTATGGTACATATCAGTCAACAAGCTGTAAACATATTTAAGAGTGATGGATTTAATTCCTTCCTCTCTTTTTCTTCCTTATTTACTTGTAGGATGACATAGAAATTCCTATTCCAAAGTACTTCACATATGAAAATTCTAAGGTTCTTCAAGAAAGAGAAAAAATGCTCGGTGGAATCCTGGCCAAAATGGGGCCTCAGGACACTACTCCAGTGAGTAAATATGTAATGTTGCTGAAAAAAATTTGTTGGCAAAATTAATTTTTTATTGCCGTTAAACCTTCATTAACCCATACGATCCTGGAAATTTTGCCAAAAATTGCATTTTGATAGTTGATCTGTTTTCTGATAATTAACTGTCTTGCTTTTAAGAGAGAAAACTTACCACAAATCTGTTCACAGGTCGTACACTTTGCGGCCTCCTGATCCAGATGCAAAATATTCGTTAATGTGAAGTTTGGGCATGCACAGAAAGCTCTTGACTTTTTTTTTCACTTCTCTCCTCCCCACTTCTTTTTCTTTTCTCTCCTTATTTTTTTTTCTGTTGCTGGGCATTTAGTAGGCTTCATTTTGTAGGGAAAAGTCTTTGGGAGAGCTTTTAGGATCTTAGGATTAGATAAAAGGAAAGGTAGGTGGGTAGTGGAACTAGATTTTCCTGGAAATTTTTGGGTCATTATGTTACATGGTTTTTGCCTTTTTCTCCGGCCTCCTTGACTGAACCATGCACATTATGGTATTGTTTGAAAGACCTCTTCACCCAGCACAAGTTAGCGGACAAAGTTATCCTTGATTGTGAAAACTGATGTCAGGTCACAAGCAGTAGAAGGGACATGCATGGATCCTCATGGGTGGTTATGGGCGGTTCAGGGGCAAATGGGTTTAGCAGACACCTATAATAAAGCATTCACCCTATTTTGAGGCCAGTAATCAAGTCCTGAAACAATTGTAGAAAAGTGTTTGCTGGGTAGAGCACAGCCCATAAAGTACTGGTCTCAGCTGTATCTGTCACAGACAGAGTTTACAGTACTGTCAGTGCAGGTATTAAGAAATATGTAGCTTCAGTTGTCAATTAAGTTTACACTCACTGAATGTTTTTCTTTTCCAATTTTTCTATCAAGCAAAAGGAAGAAATACAGATGACACTGGATGATGCTATCAGACTTATTCAGGTTGGTTTAAAAATTTGAAAACTTTTTGAAACACTCGCAGCATTTGCAACTTAGCTCCTATTTATTTGTTGCATCTTAGGTTCATGAACGAGCAAGGCAAGGAAGACTTCGAGCAAAATTTATGAGAGAAATCAGGTACTTGATTAAGGTTTTAAAAATTCAATTTAATTCAGTAAGCCAAACATAGTTATAGAGTAGGTAATGATTAAATTACTAGTTACTGCAAGTAGTATTACAACCAAAGATTATGGAGTGGACAGAACCAGTGCAAAAGCTGTTTCTCCAACACTGTGCTTGGCATAAAAAGTTTCATGAAAATGTGATAGAATGTAAAAAAGTTGGTGATCAGATCACCATTGACAGGTTAAGCCCAAATTTGCATGATTTGATTTCTATACATTCTATTCCTTCTCAGTGTAAATCCCAACGAATTTCAGCTATACATGCCACATATGTCTAATAGCTACCTTGGTGCAAATCAAATAATAATATCGTTTAATCAAATATTAGGTAGCATGTCTTACCAATCTTGTTCCTGTAGATTTTCTTTTTTGGCAAGTTGGGGATGATGTCATTCCCCCTTGCAAAATCTGTCGTGTTGCTAGACATGCTATCAATGAATCAATCACTGATAGCTGTCCCATTCATTCTCATTCTAATTTGTAATTAGAATTTTTTTTATTTTATAATTTCTTCCTAAAACCAAAATACATAATTTAATGTCCTACATTAGAAACAGTCTAAAATATTGCCAAGATTTATTAGTCATACAAAATGTATACAGAAGGTTACAGCAAATTAGTGCTTTGATTAATTGGAAACACTCTTTTTTTGTATGTGTTCACTTGTGAGATGAAGTAGTTTAGGAGGTTTGACTGTGTTAATTATTTCTTTGATTTTTTTTAAAGGCAACAAGAAGAAAGAGAGAGGCAAGCTCAGTTACGAGGAGCTCCAACCATGGAGGAGCTCAAAAAACCATGGATCCACAACTTTCTTTAATATAAATCGCGCAGCAGGTGAAACACATTAACCTGGCGACTCAAAAGTTTCAAAAGGTAACGATTTTTTGTAAGATCGGCGCTTTAAATTCAAGTCCATTCAATGAAAAGGCATTATAATTTGTTTAAACTATCTATATTGTTGCTGCTATCTAGACCTTTTGGTACAAGCAAGTCCATTCAATAAAATGTGTGCATACTTATACCTTAGGAGGTGTGTGTGGCCAAGCGGTTAACACCTCGAACTCCAGATCTGGAGGTCCGGGGTTCAAGCCTTGCCTGTCGCGTTGTTTCGTTAGACACAGGAACTTTACTCCACTTTGTCTCTCTTCACCCAGGTGTATAACTAAGTACCAGCGACATACTGCTGGGTGGTAACCCTGCGGTGGACGAGCATCCGGTTCAGGGAGGAGTAGCAATACTCCTAGGTACCAGTGCTTCATGCTAAATTAAAAGAGAGGTATGAGCAGGGATGAGATCGAAGTTTTTGATCTACAGGTGTGATAGCCGCACCATTGAAAGGTGCTCTCTTACTCTTTAATGCTGCCAGGGATGGCCATTCTTCTTTGAGAATGATGTTCCTTCTGTGTTGGAATTCCTTTTCCTAACAATAATACCCTAACTAGCTGTAGATAATAAAATTGTTATTGGTTTGACACATAGGTTTGGAAAGGTTATTCGCAAAGGAGAAAAACCAAGAAAATGAGAGAAGAGGAATTGATATTTGTCGGAATGGTAGGTGCTAAATGTTTTCGTCAAGTGTATACCACATGCTTTCATTAGATCATTATGTTGTATTGGATATGTAAAATTATTATTCATTGTCTCTTGGACTTGTCTCCAGTCTCCCCAATCTGAATCTGAGGAATGGAAAGATACACCCATGTATACAGCAAACAAGACAGAGGTAAAATTATCATTTTAACAAAAATAATTTAGAACATACAGCTCTTTTTTGGTTGGTTGGTTTGGCAGACTTTGGCTCATTGAAGATAATGTCTATGCTTCTCTTGTGTTGTTAGGAACACAGAAGAGTTGTACAAGAAGAGCATGAGAGGGAGTACCAACAGGTTGGGTTTGCTTTAGTTTTGCCAACATTTCATGCTTTTATTTTCTTTTTTTATGAACAAAGGCTATCATCTAGTTTGTTGTCATCACCATCATCATTATCATTATCATCATTGTGAAAGGTTTGAACCCAGGAGTCATTTCAAAAGTAGGTTGAGTTTAATAATTGTCCTGGTGAATGTAGTCCTGAATAGGACTGTTGTTGTTGACAGTGACTGACGTTTTGACAACCTGTGCGGTAGTCATCTTCAGAGTCAAAGTGAGTTGTATCACGTCAGTTGATGGTATTATACTCTGGTCATTGATCTGATTGGTCAAATACGTCGCGATGGTATTGGTCGTCTGTCAGTTAAGCCATGATGTTATTGGCTATGAAGACTCGTAATCAGTAATTGGTGCGTTTCGATCTGTCTATTGTCACAGTTAAACAGTCGTCTATTGTTAGTCAAATTGTCAGTTCTCTAGTCGTTCTCTCGTAGTTAGTTTTGCTTGATCTCATCAATAAGTCGTTTGTACGGCGCTGGTAACTGTTGGCTACGATTCAGTGGCATTTCATCATCTCATCAAAAACACCACCACGACCGTTAATTATACAATATCATTACCAATAGAGAGGAGGAGTGCTTACGTCACATTGCCATGGTAGCAAAATTTTTGGATGACAACAAACTGATAAAGTCATATAAAAGTCTATTTGCACTATTTCAAACTTCACCGATCTTATTCCATTTCATTTAATTTGGCAAATCTTGGCGAAATTTTCTTTGGGACCGTATCTATCGTTATCTAAGTTTAGAAAAGAAAGCGACAATTTTTGTGTTCTGTTCACCAACTCCATAAACCGGGCTCATGAAATTGGGAAGTTTCATGTCATAGTTGTGCAATGATGGCAAAGAAATGTACAAAATAGTGTGATTCACATGCAAAATTGTTGTTTGTTAATATAAGTTACATATTATTTTTGCCGTTCTCCTTGCCGTCACTGTCATCGTTGGTTTTGTTGTCATCTACCGTGGTAACTTGACATCACACTTCTCTCTATAACAAAATTGTTCAAAATATTTTTTCATTTCTGATTGGGACATTTAATCCCATTGCTAAAATTTTCTACATAACCAGCCAGCATTTTATTTTGCTGTTTCTGTCAAATATCTTGACTGAAACATGGAAGACTGATAGTCTTCATGCAAATACAGTGGCAACGTGGATATTACATTACTTATGTTGGTGAGAAATTGGTGAAAGATTTCACACATTATGCAAAGACAAAAAAACTTATTATTGTCTTCAAACCAGAGTAGGAATACCAAAATTACCACTCAAAGGATGATAATTGCTTTTTGAAGTATATCTGCAAGGAAAAAAATTCATTCATATCCCTTTTAAACAGGCAAGAAACTTAATAAAGGCGTGACTATTTTGTTGTCGCTGTTTTGTAGGCACTTGTGTCCATAAAAGAAAAGATTCGTGAAATAGAAGGACCTGATATGAAAGAAAACATGCAGGATCAAATTAGACAGTGGTTTATAGAATGCAGGTGAGATTATAAGCTTGTGTGGATTCTGAATAAACTGTAAAGGTAAACCCACATTGTGAAGCAACATAAAAGTTACTTATTTGGCAATAGACAGTACCACAAGAAAGAACTGCTCAGTAGCTTTCATTTGAATGGCCACACTTTAGATTTCATTGACAGACTCAAAAGTTAGAACCACCTCACACACTCACACACTTTATTAACAATTGACATACATGAAGTCCGTTCAAGCCCTCAAATAGAAGGTGCTAGTCGAGGCAGGCGGAGATACAGGGTGTAGCAGCCGTCTTGTTGAAACATGACACAGTACCTCAGGAAAGCACCACTCAGGGGCTGAAATTCCACTCAGTGTAAAGCATTCTGGAATCCAGAAAAATTTTTGCTTGTGGAATCCAGAATCCGGAATCCGGAATCCTATTCCCAGAAATTTTTGTTTGTAGAATCCGGAACCCTTGGCTTTGGAATCTGAAATACAGCTCAAGGAATCCGGACTCCCACTGACGATTAGAATCCCGAATCCAAGTTCTACGAATAAGGAATCTAGAACTTGGAATCTGGAATCTATGGTGTGGAATCCAGAGTCCAAGCCCGTCTTGGATTCCCATATGTCTTACTTAGGGGGAGAAAATTTAGCACAAGGCATTAGTGCTATTAGTTAATTTGCGTGATTTTGTTGTCAGGGACAAAACAGGCAAGTTTCCTGATTATCCCGACGATGATGAAGGTGGTTCGGCTGCCATTTTCAAAGAGAAAGATCCTGCTGAGGTAACTTTTAAGAGTTTCTCTGGTTACTTTTTGTAGTTTACTTTTGACTTAAGGTAAAATTCCGAAAATAAGTCCCTCCAAATATAAGCCCCCAAACCAGAAACGTAAAAAACCCTCCGTTAAATCGCCCCTCCAAATATAGGCCCCTGGGGGCTTGTAATTGGAAAATTGCCCTCAAATACAAGGTAAAGCAAAGCAAAAACGGTAAATTTACTTCCAACTATAATGCTAGCCCAATCGATTTTGAGACGCAAAGTTCTCTCCGTAGATAAGCCCCTCCAAAAATAAGCCCCTCAAAAAGGGCCCCTGGGCTTATTTTCGGAATTTTATGGTATGTTGTAAATAAGTGTCTAATGAGTATTTTTTCGTTTATTTACATTTACTTTTGACTTATGTTGTTGAACAAGTCTCTAATGAGTATTTTTTTGTTTAACATCTTTTTTGCAGATGGAGAAAGAAGAAGGACAGGTATTTACATTCTGTTACAGTAAGAAAATATAAGAAAAGATTCTCTGTTCATTATTTCACAATGAAGTTGTACTCATGGACAACGTACTAAAAAGTGTTATCCACGTGAAGAGGTGTTTTGCTCTTTAAACCTGCGGCTGTTTGACGTTCGCGTTACTGTCGCTCTGGGCCCAGTTGTTCGAAGGCCGGTTAGCGCTTAACCCGGAGTTAAATTTAACCCTGGGTTCAAAAGCATTTTCTCGGATAATTTTCTCTCTTATTTTTAGAGCTTCCAATCATCAACTTGTGCACAAAAAGAATTAAAACTGAATTGCTTTTAAAGCTTTCAAATCTTAATTCAAATCTCGCACTAACCCTGGGTTATCTTAACGCAGCTTCGAACAACCCGGCCCTGATGGGAAACTCACTACTACAAAAATAAAATAATATCCTAGGATGCTATTGATTTTGCCACATCAATTGTTTGCGTATCTGTAACAAGTCAAAATCGATTGCAGGATGACGATGGAGGGAAGAAGAAAAAAGGAAAGAAGGGAAAAAAAGAAAAAAAGGAGAAAAAAGACAAAAAGGATAAAAAAGGAAAAGGCAAAGGAAAGGGCAAAGGAAAAGGCGGGGATGAGGTAATTTTTCTTTTTTTTTTTGGTTTGTATTTTCTTTTTTTTTGAGGAAAAAAAAAATCCTCTTCTTGTGGTTTCATTCTTTGCTTATCTCCCCTTTTTTGCAGGAAGAAGAGGAAGGAATAAAAATGCAAATTTCAAACTTTGTTCTAACAGTCAATGAAGCCGCTGCTACATATAAAGGTTGATGTCAAATTTACATGCACTAATCTTGCTTCTTTAGAAGAAGTTTCTTGAGATCCATCTATTTTCCCTCTGTTTTGTAAGACCCTTAGGATGCCCCACTTGGTAGCCTGTGTAGCTGGCAGGATTCTTGTGCGCGGGGTGCTTTTTTGGCAGCGGAATCGCCACGCGAAGCGAGTGGCAAAGCCGCGAGGGAAAATGAAATTGATTTTAAATTAACTTGTACTTACTCTTCTCGCGGCTCCGCCGCTAAAACAGCACTCCCACGCTAATTCCGCCAGCAACACAGGCTACCCACTTAGAGGAGATTGGGTACAAGCTTTAGGTGCAGTGATTTCTGGGACAGTTTGAATGGATAAGCGTTAATAGTTATGATTGGTCGTTGGTATTCAAGGCAGCCATTAACCAATCATAAGTAACACTCGCCAATTGAAACGATCCCAGAGATCGTTGCGCTGAAAGCTTTTACCCAATCTCCCCTGAGTGGGAAATACTGAGGGTCTTTCAAAACAGATGGAAAATCGATGGATCTCAAGGAACTTCTTCTAAAGAAGCAAGATTAGTACATGTAAATTCCCCTTATAGTACGTTTCTGTAGTGGGGAATAGACTCCAGCCTATGTTTTGTTTTTGCCAATGTGGGTCTCAAGGAAATTGCCCTTTGTCTTTTCATCAATTTTGCGTTCACATGAACGTGAATACATCGAAATTTGAAGTAAACCATTCCCTAGAGCGTTTTCACATGAGCTTCACTGGGAAAAAAGAGGTCTTATTAGCATCTTACTCTCAACAAAAAACTGAATTTTTCACAAAATAGCCAATTGTGCATCTCATGCATTTATTTTTCATTAAGACGTGTGGCAATTCAGAGAGGAGGTAAGCAATTTTGAGCAGAAACATGATGCAGAGTTGATCAAGGAGGCCAAAAGGTATTTATTTTATTTTTGTATAAACTAGTTCTGAGATACAGAGTTACTCGTGTGGCAATAGACAGTACCACGGGAAAGTACTGCTCAGTAGCTTTCATTTGAATGGTCACACTTCAGGAGTTCATCCACGGACTCAAAAGTTAGAATCACCTTGTGCAGCATAATAAACAGCACCACAGGAAAGTACTGCTCAGTAGCTTTCATTTGAATGGTCACACTTTAGGATTTCATCCACGGACTCAAAAGTTAGAACCACCTTGTACAGCATAATAAAAAGCACCATAATAATCTGAAGAAATGTCTTGATTTCATCCCAGAAAAATTAGAAAATGCATAATAAAAAACACCCGGGAAATTCTAGTAATTCATTTATTTAAAATGCGACTCAAAAGTTAGAAATTCATAATAATCTGAAGAACTGTCAAAAAATCCAAGTGCAACCCCATTCTGTAAATTTAAAATGCGACCCCCAATCCAGTCGTGAACATGCGACCCATCCATTAGCCTCTTAGCCTCTTAGAAGGAAGTACCCCCTCCCCCCCGGGTGTGTTGTTTCCTGAATGTCTAGTGCACCTCCATCGAGGACTAGTGTGGCGCTCAGACATCACATTAAGCCTCTAAACGAGTGAACTGTGTATCGGTATAGCCTGTACACAGAGCGCCTGGAGCGCGCGAAAGCGAGCTCTTTCCCGCCCTTTTGCGCTAGCGGTCAATAAATCCCCCGCGCACTGGACGATCTCAAAAAGAGAAATATGTTATGTCTATGAACAGGCTAGTATCGATTTGTAACAGTGGATTTTGAATTTACAGTTTAGCGTCTCATTTTTTTTAAGGATTGAAGTCGAAGAGGAAATTCGTAAACAAGTCGACGAGCTCATGCGACAGGAGCTAAAGAACTTAAAAATGGTTTGTTCTGACCGTAGTGTAATACATTTTGTACTGTATATACTTTTCTCCTCCTCCCATCGATGGACCGTAAAGTCACATACTCAGAGTAAATCAAACTGATCATAATATGATATACTAGGAAACGCGTTAGATTTCTAGACTTTAAAGTAATCGCGTTCCTCATCTTTATACTAGACGGCTCAAACGTCTTAAACAACAAGGACGTCTATTAACTTTGTCGATCGGGCATGTCAAACTTAAGGCGTCTGTCTTATTTTCACATTTATCTTGTTTTCTAGTTCTGATGGATTCAACTATTTTTTTGCGCGTAGTCCTACAAAGTATATACACCCCGGAAATCTTCATTGCACTTTTTTTGACCAGAAGAGTTACTGAGAGAGGTTAAACCCTCTCTTAAAGGTAATGTTACACGAGACGATTCGCAACGACGATTTTTAGCGCAACGCTCTGTTGCAATGTTGGAACAATAGGGCCATTTATACTAGGAAAAATAAGACGCGTCTTAAATAAGACGCGAACTGTACCATTTATACGAGCATGTCCTATCTAATAAGACGCGTCTAATTTTAGACGGAATGTGCCGTTTATACGGAAAGTTCGCGTCTTATTTTTCCTCGTATAAATGGCCCTAATGTTGCAGCTGTTCGAAACAACGTCGCAACAATGTTATAATGCTGTGTTGCGCTTAAAATCATCGTTGCGAATCCTTCTTTGTGACATCACCTTAAAATTTCTAACCGTTGATAACTTGTTTCCGTCACTACCACAGTAGGGACTTTAAGATGCCACGACAGCGAAGACAACAAGAACATCAAAAAGCAAAAGGTTGAATAGGCAAAACAACAACTCTGCACACTTTTTTGTAGATTTCTTTGCCGTCACTACACGACTACGACGGGGAAATGCCTAATTTGACTAACTTGAATATGGTTCTTAGGAATTCGGCTCAAAAAGAATTCGCTTGCATTTAACAAAGTAAATGAGTTGGAGTAATCGCGATAGAGATTGAAAGAACACAATTTCACCACTTTAAGCGACGTTTTCGTGGCCTTCGCCGTCGTGGTATCTTAAACTCCCTACTCTCGTAGCAGAATGATGGCGGGTATGACGTTTTATCACCAAAGTGACGCTGGTCCACGCGCGCGCACGATTTTTATTGCGAAAATCTCGCCGTCCTAGTCCTCCTTGTCTTAGAATCTAAGGTTCGGTTATTAAACCTTAGACCGCGGTTAAGGAAATCTTTGGACCAGCAGATCTCTCCCTAAGTGTGTAAACGTGGCCTTCGTCGTTTCTGCGTGGCCCTCTATGGATTTTTTGTCTGTTTTCTCCAGTCGAGCGAAACCAGCCTTTGGAGCGCGCGCGTTTGATTTTGATTACTTCATCATCCATTATGACGTATTGTATTCTTATCTTACAAATCTAGTCCGACTGAGAGGAAACGTATACACGAAACAAACCCTTTTCTTTTTGTATTTTCAGGCTGTTGACAGAGAGAAAGGAGGAAAAAAGGGAAAGAAAGGCAAGAAGAGTGGGAAGAAAAGTGGAAAAAAGGCAAGGTTTCAAAACTTTTCAAAACACAGTAGTTTTACGCAAGATAGATAATGTTCAGGGCCGAGTTGTTCAAAGCTGGGTTAAGATAACCCAGGGTTAGAGCCAGATTTGAATTCAGATTTGAAAGGTTAAAAAGCATTTCAGTTTTAATTCTTTTTGCCTACAAGTTGATGATTGGAAGCTCTAAAAATAACTGAGAAAATTATCTGAGAAAATGCTTTTGAACACAAGAAAAAGAAACCCGGGCTAAATTTATCCCCGGGTTAAGCGCTAATCGGCCTTTGCAGGTGTAAAAATTGATCGTAATGTTTCATTTCAATAGAAAAAGAAGAAGAGTGGAAAGAAAAGTGGAAAGAAAGGGAAAAAGAAAAAGAAAGAAAAGGATTTGACAGCGGACAGGTTTGTGATATGTCACTGGCTTCTCTTAGCGTACGATCCGCAGTAGTTAGTTTACATCGTAATGTCATGGGCGAATCAGTAGACTTGGTAGAATTTTCTGGTAGAAGTGCAAGAAAAAGGGAAATTTTCTTGAAATTACTTACCTAGTAAGTGAGAAAACACATTGGCATGTGCCTTGAAAGGTTTCATTAGCAGAACAACGCATTTGCACGTGCTTTGAATGGTTTAATTATCATAACAACGCATTTGTTGTTGTTGTTTCTTTCTTTTTTTCTTGTATTGGCTGCCTAGTGGGTCGTCTTGTATTAACAATAACTTTACGTTTTTTAGAACTATTGAGTCTCTATATGAAGAGTTGGTGCACGAAGGGATTTTAGTTCGAGCTCCAAAAACTAGACTGAAAGAATACGCTGGCGAATACAGGTACATCTTTACATTGTGATGTTGTCGCAGGGCCACCAAAACTAGTGTTTAAATCTGACAAAGCTGCAAGCAGAATAAAGCAGTCAGAATGGAGCGAGGCTAAGGGCAGTCAATATCAGACATGTTATTGATTGGGCACAGTTGGTTTAGTGCGGCCTTCTGTGCCATAGGTGGTGAGCGGGAGAAGATAGCTTAGGACAACACCCTCAATTTTATTACCCTGTCTAGGACAAACGACAAGATTAACGCCGACTTATTTTAGAGTCATTTATTGGCAATTGCAATTGGGAAAATTCACATCTTAGTCATTGCTTTTGTATTATTTCGTCCAGGAAAATCAAATCAATCGAGCAGGCTATAACCTGTTTATAATTAGGACAGACTCTCAGAATCTCAAGTTACATACCCTGTTTAGAACAGACTTGCGCGAAACTATATACCCTGTTTAGGACAGAGAGCACAAAAAGCATACCCTATTCAGCGGCGCATCCCCGTAGGGAGTACCCCCGTGGTTTCCGAGTACGATTCCCAGCTGTGACCTCTCGAAGCAAGGGGGGGAGCCAACAACAAACTCAATCCACATACGGGGTCTCAAACCTGGGCGACATTGGTGGGAGGCAAGTGATCTCACCGCTGCGTCACCCCTGTTCCACCCTCCCCCACCCTTATTTGGAACTTCCCCTCCAAATAACGACTGTACGTTCTCGTTTCATTTTAGTTACCTGGGTACCACACTCCGTCAGGCTAATATCGAGCCCATGCCATCCATATCTGACGTCAGAAGAGTCATCACAGAGTTCGCGATACTTCCATTAGGTAACTATTCATCCGTCAGGTGATTGTTATTTTAACACAGAATTTGAAAATATTCATAGTTTGTGTGGACATCACTATGGGATTTGGGGCTTTGGTAGTGTAGCGGTTTGCTGAGTTGTTCTCAGCCTTCGCCCCATTGTAAGGGATTCCGGAATCTTGTAAATTATTGCTTGTTCAATCCGGAATCGGGGAAAATTTTGCTTGAGGAATCTGGAATCTTGGTCTTTGAAATCCGGAATACAGCTCAAGGAATCTGGAATCCCACTAACGATTAGAATCCAGGGCTGAGTTGTTCGAAGCTGAGTTAAGATAACCCAAAGATAGTGCGAAATTTGAATTCAGATATGAAAGCTTAAAACGCAAATTCAGTTTAATTCTTTTCGTCTACAATTTGATGATTGGCTAATCTAAAAAGAGAAGAGAAAATTTTCCGAGAAAATGCTTTTGAAGAAAGATTTAACCCTGGGTTAACGCTTATCGGCCTTCGAACAACTGGGTCCAGAATCCAAGTTTCACGGGCAAAGATTGGGATCCAGTATATGGAATCCGGAATCCAGAGTCCAAGACGTTGTTGGATTCCCTGACATGGGGCGAGTAGCCTGTAGTACTGGCCTTTATTTTGGCGAGTGATCACTCAACATTTCGTGTATTTAACCCGCTATATATGATTTCAAGAACAGATCAATCAGGCATGTCGGAGAGAGTAGAAAGTACGATCATCATTGACGCGGGATAAAACGGGAAAATCCATGTGGGAAGAGGGAACAAAATATTCCCTTTTCTTGTCTGTTAGTTCCTTCCTGTAGGTACCGAGGCACTGATAACGAACAACAAAAGAAACAATACAACCAAACAATAAAACTCCAGGAGAACTCTATTTTTTGGTTCCCTTGTTTGTTTTGTGACAAAGGTACCTGCAGGAAGACCCTGTCTATCTCTGTGTTCCCCTTGACTTGAAGATCATTTCAGATGAAATCCTGAGTAAGTTAAGTCCTCGTGCTGCCTGATAAGAAATCGTACCGGAACATACTTTTCCCTTGAGTGCCAGCTCTTGATCGGACGCGAAAATTATTGCCTATAAACTGATTGGTTGAATTTTGACGTTTCGATCTTTCTCTGCGATTTGTCTTGCAGGATCCCAAGCCGTACATGAAAAGTCACCGCTGGTCAAATCTGTTCTTATCGCTGGCCCACGAGGCGTTGGAAAGAAAATGCTGGTGCACTGTGTTTGCACGGAGACTGGAGCGAACATGTTTGACCTGACAGCTGCTAATATCGCGGGAAAATACCCCGGGAAGGCGGGGCTACAGATGATGTTACACATGGTGTTCAAGGTATAATCACGTGATTTTAACATCTTTTGTCAGTGTTTCAACTTAGAGGGGTTTACATGAGAAAACTCGCACCGGCGCGAGTTTCATACCAGGATGACTTTTTGATTTCGCATCGCGTTTACATAATGACTGGGTCATTTCATATCTCGCTATTTGAAGTTACACTAGATGTTGATGAAATACACTTGTGATTCAAAATCGCAAACATTACGCATTCCCTACCGGCAGACCGATTACGTATCCAGTCTACTGGCAGACCGATTTCACACCGAAACGTGTGGTCGTTTCGTGTTTTAATCTGCGAGATTTTACCGGGTGAAATTTTACAACAACCGGGGTGAAATCACGCTTTTTCGCGTCGGCGTGACATTTTGTGGTGGTATCATGAAACAAATGCAGAGCCAACAGGCGGAGTGAATCCCGGGCGAAAGTCGTGTTGTTGTGTATAGATATATTTTCTTCTGCTTTCTTTCATTGTAAAAGGCTTAATCAGGACTGGGGGATATTTATAGGGTGTTGGTGTAGGAAGACTGGGGGGAAGGGAAGCGGGCTTGAGCATCTTTGTAGCTGTAGTTAACTGCGTTGACATTCATCCTCCATTTCTTCTCTTTTCTGTTTACTACAGGTTGCTCGTCAACTTCAACCCTCAGTAGTCTATATCGGTGATGCAGAGAGAACCTTTGTGAAGAAAGTTCCCAAGACAGACAAGGTAACATTCAACTCTTTTTGAAATTGAACTTTTTTTCACATGTCATGACCTCTGTTGCTACACGCTTATTGTGAATCAGAAATCAAACATTCACGTGCTACCAGTAGCCAGTCTACTACCATGGGAGGGAAGAACCGTTGTCAAGGTGAACTGTCGATGACAGAAGACGTGTAGCTGCCAGCCAGTGAAAAGCGCGGGAAAAATCGAATCGCTTTCAAGGTAGCTTCCAAGGGTAAAAAAAACGTGCAGCCGGTACAGTGCAGTTGGTACCGAAAGAGCGGGAAAACACAAGAAACTTCCTTCAGTAGCAAAAAAGAAACGTTAAGTTAACAAAATTATGTTCTTTTTATTGTTTGCAGACCGACCCCAAGAGACTGAAGAAGGACCTGCCAAAGATTTTGAAAACTCTGAAGCCAGAGGATCGAGTCCTTATCGTGGGCACCTCAAGAATGCCCTTTGGTATCCTTCAGTAATACTGTGTATTGAAAATAGGGATAAATTCAGGTTTCTGGGAAACTGCCCACCTACCCCTCCCCTAAGCTAACATTAACACTGACTTCTCACTTAAGGCAAAACGTTGGCTGAGGGAAGGGGTAGGTGGGCAGTTTCTCAGAAACGTAAATTGATCTGAGAATATAACATACTGGTGCTTACCATTTACATTGGAAAACCGGAAATTCCGGTTGAAAAATTGAATGGTTCAAGCCTTTCCTTTTGAGAAGCTATAAATAACATGATCAAACAAATAACGGAAAACAAATTCCGATAACCTGCTTGGCACTTCCTCCATGGAGGAACTCAAACCACAAGACGGCGCTTTTGTTCATTATTTTTTGTTGAACATTCCCTCACTTATTTTTTTAAAACTGCGCCCCCCCCGCGCCCCTTAACGCAAGGCCTGGATCGGGCACAGATATGAACTACTCTTTTTAGATAACCAGTTGATCTGGATATACTTAGTAGTGGTCCTTCTCACAAACGTCAGTTTTAATTTTTAAATATTTCAGCACGAGACTCTGTGCTAAATGTAAGCAACTGTTAACACAAGATATCATTAAGGTCGTTCTGAGTGTAATTATGGTGTTAAATGAGACTTTAACACCGCTTTTTTTATTGTTAACATAAAGTTCGTTCTATCAGACAGTTGGCCATTTGTTATTGCTTTCACGTGACGGTGAACAGGCTTTCTTTGTTTGATGTGCTAAACGAATGTTTGGCATGAACCGTAATATCAGAGTTAGGTGTGCGCCTTTGGGTTCTTGTTGTATTCCTTAACAAAACCAAGATGCTGAGATCAAGCCGTTCTGTGGTTTGTATCAGAAAATTCTTCTTCTTCCAAGACCTGATTATGCCTCGAGGTTCTGTAAGTATACTCTATTTATCTCGATCTATCTGTTTATTAAAGCACTTAAGAGTCTACTACAAAGAGTCTGCAGGTTTTTGCGGAATTGCGTAGGTTACCTAGGTAACTGATGTACCGGGACCTTTGAGGTTGACTTGCTTGTAGTCTGTAGTCGGTACATTTGACGTCAACATACACCATGTACCTTGCGCACTATGGCAACCATCCGCGGTCCAAAGAGCCTGAGGACGCTGGATACCTGATCCAACACGCCGCGATCTCTGATTTTTGAGAGAAGGGTGGCTAAACGCAGAATGAATGCTTAAAACATTATCAAACGTTCGTGTTTGCTTGTAGTGTTATGGAAGACGCTGGTCACAAGGTATGGCGGACGCTTAACTGAGCAATTAGACGTGAGTTCGTTGGCGAAAATAACTGACGGCTACACTCCAGGTCACATGGCCCAAGCTATTCAACAGATTCTTACAGAAAGGCGCGTTCAGCAGGTTTGTACTGCCCCAGTTTATTACTTGTTGATCGCTCATGCCGAGACTTTTACTGGTAAATTTTGACCAATCACCAAGCTCTCCACCTGCGCGCGCCTGGGCCCCACTAAAAGGAGTTCGCTTCTCGGACCATTCGTAATGCGTAGAAAGCATGCGTAGTACCATAACGAGGTACTATGCATTAAGGAAGTTTCGCGCCGTAGTTTGTTAGCAGCACAGAACACAAATGACGTCAGCATGACTTAAATTTGCAATGTTTGTCTGACTTTTGTCATTTGCAAACATGACATTTTAATGACCAGAAGTGACGAATGTGCTAATGGAAGTTTGTTCAGTTCGATAAATAGGGACTTTAAGATTCAACGACGCGACGGCAGAGAGAACGTCGCTTAAAAAGTGAATTTGCCTTCTTTCAGTCTTTGTCGCAATTATTCCTACCCCCTTACTTTATCAAATGTAGGCGAACCCTCCTGGAGTTGAATTCTTAGGGACCATATCCAAGTTCAGAAAGAGAAATATCATTTCGTCGTTGCTTGTTTACGTACTCCATAAAACGCGAAATTAGGCATTTTCACGTCGTAGTCGTCCAAAAACGGGTAAAGAAATGTACAAACGAGCGTGATGCACGTGCAAAGTTGTTGTTTTGGTTGTAAAACCTATTGTTTTTATGAAGTTCTCGTCGCCGTCCGCGTTGTTGGATCTTAAAGTCCCTAATGTTAACTGTGCACAGCGCCATTGCGTACACTTAGTTTGCATATGATGCTACAAAATGTCATGACGTCATCGACCAGTATTTCGTCTACATTTCAGCTGTCAAAGAGACCGCTGTTAGCGGTAGAGTTTGTGGCACCACTAGCACGCATTGATCCAATTTACAAAGAAGAGGAAGAGGCATTTAAGGTGAGGGACAAATCTCCTCGCGTGAGAAGTGCGTCACGATGTGGCTAGACTGCAACACAGTCCGTATTTTTGCGCGTTCAAGTAGGCGCGAGCAGTCAAACAAAAGGTCTGGAACGAGGCTGAGAACAGAGAGCGAGACTGGGGAGAGACGCTACGGGCGTGTGAGACTCGCGCGCCTCGCGCGCGTAAAACTTTTACGCCACGCTTTACAGATTTCTTTACGACTGTTTTGCAGTCTACGATGTGGCAAAAGGTGATCTTATTCAATCCTAGTGCCCAGTCTTTACTCGCATCACAAGCAAGAGAGCACGGATGTCTCCACTTGTGAGAAGCTTAAGTTCGTTTGGTGATATTGGCAGGGGCAGAATCTGTACAATTTTGGAGCCGCTTATTTTGCGTCTTTGGGATTTTCATGGGCGCAGGTTTACAGCCATATATCTGACCATACATTGAGGCTGAACGACAGAGCTACTTTTAATAATATGTACAAATATAGATAATAAATATACCGCCGAATTTTACTCGCCAAGTTACGATATTGCGATTGAGGAACCGATGATTTCTACAGTTGCCAAGTCTCCGGGAACTCCCTTAAACATGCTCCTTTACCTTGCAGACTTGGTACGCCAAGACACCGCTGGGCAAAAAGCGCGCCAAAGCCGCGGCAGGAGATGATGAGGGAGACAAGAAAGGAAAGAAAGGGAAAAAGGGAGGAAAGAAAAAGAAGAAGTAAAACCAAGAAATGGAATTAAACGTGCGAAGTAAGCAAGAAAAAGAAACTGAATGCAGTCGTTTTTGGTACATTAGCTTTTTTGTTACTGTATTGTAAATAACGTTGGATACTCTTGAAACATTTTGTACATATCAAACTGCTGTGAATAAAAAACAAAATTAACCAACAATTAACTTGAAAAATTGTTTGGTACTTATATCAACAAAACGATAGCAATGGTGAAGTTCAATTTTATTTACGTAAATGTGACCTCTAGAACATTTCCAAACATAACATAAACTAGCGATACATATCTTTCTCAAAACACCTTCGGTAAGAAAATTCAAATTTTTAACCAAAATGGGTGAAAAATTTTTGAAGATATCAAATTTGGCAACTATCTAAAAACAATATTTTTATAGTCAAGAAAGACTTGGTTCCATCCACAACATCATCAAACATATTAAACTATTTTTCCCAATAGTACTGATATCGCACATGTTTCTGCAGTATGAAAATATACATATTAAATAGTCAACCTGAAATCAAGCTCTATTTTTAATTCGCTTTTCACATAAAAGTCATAAAATTCTCGTATGGAAGCTGCTAAAAGTTGAGTTTTTAGGAGAGCTCGTTTTTCATCACTCCTCACAATAAAAATATGGATTTAAGAAAAAATTGGCATTTTTCGAAACGGGTTAGTCTATGATTTTGGTCAAAAAGTTGACGTTTTTTTAATTTTTTGTGTCTAAACAACAAACAAAACAACAAACAAATTTTATTGAAAATGGGAAAATAACTAATTACATTACTTTCCCACCCGCAAATAGCTTATGAACTAATCGAGGCGGGGGGAGCTGAAGACATATTACAAAACAAGATTTATATATAGATGGACTAAATAACAGTGAAGACACTACAATACAGTAAATAGAATTTAAACTAACATAAAACAAGGCATGTACATAACGATTACGAAGAGAGGCTAACGTAAAGTATTAAATAACTTAATAAGACGGGAGACTTCGACATAATCATCTGACCGCAAAAAATTTAGTAATAATTCCTTTATTTTTTTACGAAAGGACGAACGTTTAAGTATTTTAATCGAATACGGAATAGAGTTCCAAATTTTGGCACCGATTCTCGTGAAAAAGGCATACATTTTATCGGTTCTAGAGAACGTAACATAAAACGAGTCGCTAGAGACAGATCTTGTTCTGTAGTTATGAATCTGACTTGTTTTAACGAACTGATTGAGAATACTAACTGGTGCTGTCTGTCTGTTGATATCATACAATAAATAGCTACAATCTCTGAAAAATATGCTAGGCAGGGGAAGGCAATTTGATTTGAGAAAGAAGGGTACGGCGTGTTCCTTAGACTTCACTTACTGAAGTAAATGAGACGTAAGGCCCGTTTTTGTAGAGTTACGATCTTTCTTTGAAATGTCAAGGCACAATTTCCCCAACCACAAATACCATAAGTCAAGTAAGGGACAATTAATGAGTTGTAAACCGAAAGTAAAACACGACGCGGGACATAATGTCGAATTTTAGCTATAATTCCTATCGACTTGCTGATTTTGTGACAGATAGATTCGATGTGGTATTTCCATGAAAGATTTGAAGCAATCATTAAGCCAAGATATTTTACATAATCTTTCATTTCAAGATTTGCGTAGGTGTTAGTCACGGAGTCAAAAATTCTAATCCTAGGTATGAAGGGCATATTCTTTTGCCGGGGACGAAAGATTACAAAATTTGATTTTTTTATGTTCAAGGACAGTTTGTTGGCCTTTAGCCATTCGTTGACGTTGCCAAGCTCGCGATTAACAAGTGTTTCGAGTTCCTTTAGGTTGTTATTTGCAAGTATTATACTAGTATCGTCAGCAAATAGATAAAAGGCAAATAACGAAGAGGACTTGTAAATATCATTGATGTACAGTAGGAATAAGAGTGGTCCGAGGACTGAGCCTTGTGGCAAGCCGCACAAGGTCGTTTCAGCCTCAGACACAACATTATTAACTTCCGTAGTTTGCTTCCGATCAGTCAGGTATGATCTGAACCAGGAGTTTATTACACCTCTAATACCATAATTTTCAAGTTTAGCTAACAAAATTTCATGGTTAACAGTATCAAAAGCCTTTTTGAGATCGATGAAAACACCGCACGAAAATTTACCGTTGTCCATGTTTTGGAGAATTGTGTTAACAATATCAAGTACAGCATGCTGAGTACTGTGCTTACTGCGAAAACCGTATTGCTGATAAGAGAATGTTGCAATCTTTGACAAACTTGGTAACTCTGGAGTACATAAGTTTTTTCAAAAATCCTGTTATAAATCGAGAGCAGAGAAATAGGTCGGTAGTTTTCGGGCAGTGTGTCATCTTCGTCCTTAAATATCGGGATAATCTTAGCACACTTTAGTTTAGATGGAAAAATCCCTGAGCAAATAGACTGATTAAAAATCGTGGCTAGAGGTACGGATATGACCCTTTTTGCCAATTTCAGCAGCCTAACTGGAGATGAGTAAAGACCATGGGCCTTGTTGTCTTGCAAAACTGAAATTTCTAAATTGATTTCTTCCGGAATAATAGGATCAAAGAAGAAAGTGCGATTAAGTGGCGGATCTAAATAATCATAGAATGTATTTATGGTCTGAGGAATTTTAGAAGCCAGTTTGCTCCCAACAATGGCGAAATATTTGTTATCTATTAAACATAGATCAAGAAAAAGTGTTTGCTGACGTTGTGAACAGAAAAGAAGCCTTTCAATACTATAAGAACATCTGTTTATGAAGAACGCAAAATTCGCTTTTTTCCAGAGGGGTAAGTCCATCGTTTTCGTCAAAAAGTTGAGACTTATTCAACTGCTAGTGTTATGGAAAATAAACCAAGAAAAAGTCTCTGGGGATGTTCTAGTGATAAAAAAGTTTATCTGTAATCCGCTGTAAGGTCTTTTAACCCCTGTAAGCCCTTGTAACTCCCTGTAACCGCTGTGACCCCCTCTAACCCTTTGTAACTCCATGTAACCCCCTGTATGCCCATGTAACAGATCGTGAAAACAGATGTGAAAAAACGATTTTTGACTTTCTGGACTATGAAAACTTTGGTTTAATACACCCGCAGAATTCGCATTGTTCCAAAGGGGTTAGTCCATGGTTTTGGTAAAAAATTTAAGAGTTTGTCTACTTTTCGTTTTATGCAAACTGACACCGAGAAAAAGTAATTTGATGACGTTCTTGTTAGAAAACAATCCTTTCTGGGCCCAGTTGTTCGAAGGCCGATTATCACTTAACCCGGGGTTAAATTAAACCTGGGTTTCTTTTTCTTGTGTTCAAAAGCATTTTCTCGGATAATTTCCTGTGCTATTTTTAGAGCTTACAGTCATCAACTTGTAGACAAAAAGAACTAAAACTGAAATACCTTTTAAGCTTTCATATCTGAATTCAAATCTAGCGCTAACCCTGGGTCATCTTAACCCAGCTTTGAACAACTCGGCCCTGGACAATAGAAACATGGGTTTAAGAAAACCACAAAATTGGCACTTTTCCAATGGGGTTAGTCCGTGATTTTGGTCAAAAAGTGGAAGTTTTTTCATCTGTTGTGAGTTATCATAAATAGATCGAGAAACAGTGTTTGGTGACGTTCTGGATAGAAAAGAAGCCTTTCAAGGCTATTAGAACATCTGTATTGTCGCCTAGGATACCGCATTGCAAAAAAAAAAACCCTGGCTTGACAATGTTTGTGTAAATCTACCTTTTATTTTCTTTTTTCTCTCTCTTTATCATTTTTCTTTACTTTCCGTTTTGTTTTATTTTTCTTCCTTTTTGGTTATAAGATATTACTAATATTTCCTAAAAATAAATTTAAATAGAAAATAAACTATAATACAAACTAAAATAATAATAATTTGAAAAAAGTAATCGATTTTTTAAAAAAAATGGACAAATGAAAAATTAAAGAATTGAAAATAAAAATGATAATAATAACAAAAATTTATTCATGGCCTATCGTTACCATAGGTTCTCTTTTTATGTTCCTTTTTTTTTCAGTGAAAAAAGCGGCCATGGCTTTAGACTGTTCACAGTCCCCTATTTTTTCGCGAGATCGTTTAGATATACCGCGTCTTACCGTCACGGCTATCTTGATTTTCAAATGTACCGAGGGGGCGGGCGTCGGGGATTATAGCTCTAGCCGCCTAAGTAGTTTTGACACTCATGCAAGATGGCAGCCCATAACACGCTCGATCTCGATGATCTTACGGAAAAATAGAGGACTGTGAACAGTCTAGGTCTATGTTGTCATACTTTTTTTCAACGAAAAAATATAAGAAAGAAAACGGTCATGCCCTGGCGTTGCCATAGACCAGCATGCCTTTGGGGTGTCCTATTCAAGATGGCGACAACAACGATTGTCAGGAAGACGAAGCGGTTGAGGTCGATCAGTTGAGATCGCCGTTTACGGATGCATTGATACTTGTAGCCTAAAAATGCTTTGGGCAAAGGTTTGGGTTTACTTGTACAAAGCAACAACGATAGCGAGCAAGCTTATAGGCTGGATAAAGGATCAGAAACAGGAGTGATGGCTTTAATGCACTCCTCTCTCCGACAGCATCAGGGGGACATGGATCCAGTGGAGACAGTCGTGTCTGGGCCTTCAACTTCCAATCAAGTATGTGTACTTTTTTTATGTGATGCATTGTTTTGCTAGCACTAGAGTACTTTAATATTCTAACTTTAAACGTTTGCAGAAATGTCCTACCCTTTTTCTTGGTGATTAAAAAATTATTGAAACTCCATCTGCAGGACATGATGAAATTCTAAACCTACAAGGTTCCTTGATTTATACACTCTTATTAGGGAACTACTTAAAGTTCCCTGTTTAATGCTTGTCTTAAGTTCAAAGAGCATCCAAAAGTCAATTGAAATAGGGTTTGCTCGGTGAGCTGTTGGCATTTACTAGTGTGTGTGCTGAGCAGCATTGCTGTAGCTGGGAATGAGTATAACATTTGCACACT